TGAAAATATAGGCTTTGCGTACTGCTGGAGTGGCAAACTGGTCAGTATTGGCTTCCAGCTTCTGACACATGGCCAGTATCCAGTCTTTAAAAGTGATGTCCTTCCTATCACTGAACAGGGGTGGGTCAGGGATCTTCATCGCTCTCTTAGGCTCGGGGACGGTTGTACTTCGGGAGGCAGTCAGGACCTGACGGGTGATCTGTACCGCGAAGGCATCTCGTTCCTTAGCAATATCATCTTGTTCCTGAGTGAGGGCGGTTATCCCCTGGCTCTGCCGGTCTTACTGATCGAGGAGATTGTCCCTTTCAGTCTCTAGGTTACTGAAAATCTTCAGAAGGATTTCAAAAGTTCACTTCGGGTCTCTCTGGTATCGGGCATCGAATTCGGTCTGGTTGAACCTGTCTTCCCAGTCTGGTTCATTGGGTAGTATCGCGGAAAGTCGCCGGTTGTTTCTAGGACCCGGGGCCTGGCTACTTTCTCTAGCCATTTCGTTCGTTCATTTCGTTCGTTCATTTCGTTCGTTCGGTCAGATGGGTCTTGGGCCGTTAGACATCGCCAAGAACGCGAGTGGGGACTGCTGACAGCTTGGCAGGAGCCGGCCGTGTACAGCAGTAGAAAAGAAATCAAGAATGACGCTTGAAGTTATGAGACGGCCGTTCAACACAGCAAAATGAGGTCGTATTGGTGCTAACTACTCTAGAACTTCAAGCATAGAGGGGGAAAAGGAAAACGAGAAGTGTTGTGGGCGCTCGCTCGCTAGAAGAAATTGACAACACAGCAAACAAAACAAATATAGTCACATGATTCCGAATAGGGCTGCCGTCACACAGCTCCGGTGAGCTTCTCTACTGCTCTGGAGATTGCTATCCTTTCTACGGATGTTATCAGATTAAGGTTCAGGGCCTAGCCCTTTTCATTATGGGATATGGTGTTTTCGCTTTATATTCTTGCTTGAATAGGAAGTGCCTACGTAGCTAGCATCTTACTTAGCGGGCTCGATCAGGTGTAAGAATCTGAATTGAATTGAAAATTGGGCTAAGAAGATATGGCTTGACCGGATGAACCATGCTATATGCAGTACGTACAAAGGATATCATGTTCGTGAGGGTGAAAACCTTTCGGGAAACCATCTATAGATTCTCGGTGGGGATCGCCCCTTTGAGTAACTTGACGTGTCTGGATTTCAGTCCCCTGCGCTGGTATTTCCACAGATTAGGGTATTTGTTCGCAGACGTCTTGAACAACGACAACATGGCATCTTCGTCAACATATGTACCAGCCAGCCAGCGCTGGCCAACATCGGTTTTGAACGCGCGACGAGCATGCGCCACCCGACGGTTCTCGAAGATGACACATTCGCCAGGCTTCATCTTCAGCTCGAACATGTTTTTCTCATCCTCAAGACCATCGGCAAAGGTCTTGAGCGCCTTCGAGAATTTCAAGACCTTGTGAGAACTGAGGTTCTGTGCCTTGAACGGGGCCTGGAAAGGTGGCGAGTAGTTGACGTGGGAGAGAGGAAAGTGTTCAATATCGCCACGTTCGGTCGGCCTTTTGGACCGTGAAAGCTCAAAGACAGGCCAGTTATTAGTGTAGAAATGATCATCATGATTGTATTCGTAGTGCAATTTGGCTTTGCTCAAGTAATTGTAATGGCCGCTGTCCTCCTTTTTCATGTTGTATGCAACACGGAATGTGTCCACGAAGAGGGATTCCCCTCCCTCGCAAGAGTTCTGCAAACAATGCAGGAGCTGATAACCAGGTGGGTCGTTCATGTACATCAGGTCCATGTGGAAGCCAAGGAACTGGTTGGTGTAAGCGACATTCTTGGCATTTGGGACACTGCGCACATCCCATGTGGGTCCGTAGAACGTATTACGGATCGGTCCCATGCGAGTCGCAATCTTCTCGACCATCTCGCGTGAGTCTGGGATGTCCTTCACGAAGATAAGGCCCAGTTCGGCGAGGGTGCGCATGGACCATGCGAATGCGATGTCGTTGTTCATGAAGTCGTCAAACGTGATCCAATGTTGCCAGTAGTCCATACGGCCTTTATCCCAGAGCGCCCGCCAGCGTAACTTCCCCGCCGCTTCAGCTTCTGTGGGTTTCAGGATAGGGTACCGAAGTCTATATAAGTCGTATGTGGAATAGTGGCCGGAGTCTGGATGACCCTCCATGAACTCGTTTTTCCACAGCACGCGCATTTTTCCTCTTGCGACCTTGAGTTCGGAAGATTTTATGGTGGTGGGGATATCACTGGTGCGGAAATTGCGTTGCTTCGAGTGCGGGTCCACGCAGACAGGGCATTTGCACGCGTCGCGAAGGGTGATATCTGTGATCGTAATAGGCTTTTTGCCGAACTCTTCAATCAAAAGGCCTCTACTTGTCCTGGTCACTGTGTATTTGTCATCCTTATACTCTACCTTGCTTTCCTGCCTTGGGTTGATTCCTCGCGTCTGTGGCTGACCCTCAGTACGAGTAAAGGGTTCTTCCGGTCCAAGCACTGCCGGCGATTGTGTGTCCGTTGCCGGTCTTTCGTTGGAATCCACCGGTAATTCAGGATGGGTATTCAAGGGGGCCGTTGAATTTGGTGAGATCGTAGGTGAGGGATCGGCCTTGGTTGGAGGGGAGGCAGCGTCAGCAGGAGGAGCAGCGCCAGTAGATGAGTAGACGCGACGGCAAAAAGTCGATGCCGGGGGCCCAGAGACGCGGGGAAGGCGGAAAGGAATTCGCAACAGGCGAGCCATGGTGAATAATGGCAGCAAGCTAGCCTGCTAAGTAGAGTGTGGAGATACACACATATAAGCCCAGCCCTGCACTGCACGCTTGAGAGGACGAGTTGAAGCGGGGAAATTCAAGAGCGTCAGGAACCGGCGCAGTTAGCTCGCCGGAGCCGGAATATGAGATGTTCCGGTCCGAATGGTCTACACATAGATGACGATGCTCCCATCGTGAGATAGATAGCTTCTATTCTGGTGGATAGTAGACTCTTTTGGCTCAGGGGTTAAGCTTAAAGCGGGCTGTTTCAGCTTGGGTAGAATCCGGGATTCGGGCGTGCATGCGAGGTTCTATAGTACAAGGTTCTGGAGCCGGAAAGGCCGAGCGGTTCCGTGATCCCAAGCAAGCCGGGTATGGAATATTTACAGAGTGGAATACATCACGCTAAATACAAATAAACGCCCGCTTTCATCATGGCCGGATGGAAGACGAATCGGGGAGCCCGTTTACCGCAGGAATCTCTCCACGGCACCGCCAATGTTCTTCAAGTCCAGAAGGAACGTGTCGTGTCCGAACAGCGAGACATCCTCGCCAAGTTCGATGTGCTCGACATTCTCGTTCCCGGCTGCCCGCAGGGTTTGTGCGATTTCTCGCTGCTGCCAGGCGGGGAAGAGGATGTCACTGGCCACCCCCATCACCAAAACCCGGTGGTTCTTGAGGGGCGCCAGACCAGCGACGAGATCCCGCGGCGGCGCATCGGGTCCCGCTTCTCCTGCGACAGCCTGATCCATCGAAGGGGTGCCTGCCGTCACCGACGGCTGCTCCTCGTACGGTTGCTCCGGAAGGGTCAGGCTGCATGCGATGTCGCTTTTCTGCAAAGTCTTTCCTCCCTCGGCAATCTTAGCCTCATACCCAGCCCTCCGTTTCTGCGTCTCGGACTGGTGAGCGTAGCCGAGGTCAAACAGGTCCATTGCCTTCGACACATAAAGGAGACTGTTGGGGTCATATTCCAAGCAGAACTTCTCTCCCGCATGGTCCAGGTATGTCTCGATCAGGAAGTCCGGGCACAGAGCCGGCTGCTTGCTGGGGTCGGCGCGCTTGCGGCCGAACCGATTCTCCCATTCCGGTCCACTCCGGTATGTCACTGTGGCGATCTCTCTGGCCAGCTTCATGCCCGAGTGAGGCGGGATCGAGTCGTAGTAGAATCCCCGAGCCCATTTCGGGTCCATCATCAGCACCTGCCGCTGAGTGTGTCGCATGGCAATGCTGTACGGGTGGCTTCGCGCACATCCACTGATGCTGACAATCTTGCCGATCCTCTCGGGGAAGAGCACACCGGCCGCGAGACTCTGCATACCACCCATGCTGGATCCGACCGAGGCGTACAGCTTATCGATACCGAGGGAGTCCAGAAGACGAAATTGTGCCCGCACCATATCATCTATCGTGAGAATCGGAAACCGAGTAGCGTATCGTTTTCCGTCGGAGGGGTCAATCGACGAAGGTCCAGTACTGCCATAGCATCCTCCGATAACGTTGGTACAGATAATAAAGTACTTGTCCGTGTCCAGGGGCTTGCCGGGCCCGATGAACTTCTCCCACCAGCCGGGCTTGGGGTTGGCTTCGGTGCTGTGCGCGTGGCTGGACGCCGATAGACCCGTGTGTAGTAGGATAGCGTTGCCCTTGTCGGCATTCAACTGACCCCATGTCTCGTAAGCGACATCGAATTCTGGAAGCACACCACCCCAATCCAGCAGCAAGGGTTGTTCGCAGTGAAACTGTTCGTGGTGGCCGGTGGTGTAGGAGGGCTCGGGGCCCGACTGGAGTGACCGTGCGGAGAGTTGAGCGGACTTGGCATCCTGAGCGTCGAGACAAGGGAATGACATGGCGGGATTCGACGCCGTGGCGGACTGTGACATGCGCGACGGGCCATGATGCAGGGCCCTGTGATTTGCCGGAGATGACGTGGATGACGGGATTTGGATGCGACGACTTCCACCCAAGATAGAGAGGCTCTCGCGCTGGTTGAGCCGCGCGGCAGCTTTGAAAGCTCGGGGAGCTGAGCGAGCGACAGCTGAAGGACCCATGATAATCCAGACGCAACGTTTCGTTGCCGGGTGTTGATATTGATGTGGTGGATGATGATGATGATGATGATGATGAAATTACAGACCGGAAATCCGGGGAAAGGGGGAAAAATTTGCTGATGTGATGACGATCGCCGATGACGTGATCGCGTGTGGCTGTAGAGGACGGTCTGGGCAAGATGAGAAAAAAATAATTTAAGCCCTACGTGGGGGTCGAACCCACAGCCTCAAGATCTCTCTTTTCCAGGATAGGATTTCTAATCCAGAGAACAAGTAGAAGTCTTGCGCGCTACCATTGCGCCAGCAGGGCTTCCTCATGTAAGATGGAAGAGTTTATTGCATTATCCACAACCAATCTTTGTACCGTTCCTTCCAGGGCTGGATCGGCTACTCTATGGGTCCCGTCAGCTCATTAAATCGGTAATAATCCTTCTGGGAGGAGACCAAAAACATAAGATGACTTCGATAAGGCCACCTTCGCTGATGCTAGGATATCATTTGCTTGGCAGTGTAGAAATCCTATGACTTCAGGAAGGAAAGGTTGTATATCCACGATAATGGACTGGTCCTTGAGGATCAGTAACTACCATACAGTTGGGATCTATCCATCTTACAGTTATTCCCCTAATCCTGGAGATATCTGTTGTGGTATAATTAAGAGCTTTTGCCGTCTTCACTAGAAAGGGAATCCCTAGGACCAACATCGATGACCTCACGACTTCCTGTGGCGTAGCCTATCCCCGGACCGCCGCCCGATACGAGTCCCAGCGCGTTCCATTGTTTCGTGCCTGATTCATGAGGCATACATAGTTTCTTCGTGAATAGCAAGATCAATCAAAAACTTGAGAGATCTATACGTATAGACAGTATGCAAAAGTCTGATACTATGGGCATAGATTTGTATCTAATCCGGAGTCAGATGATTTATTCAAAACGCGCTAAATTATACATACTAGAATATCGCTCTCTATATTTGGAATTCCCGGTTTGCTGAGTTGAGGACTCTCAAGATATGAGTGACGAGACAAGTACTTGGGAGGGCCTAATTCTTCTACTGGATCCTGAGCTGCAGTAAGTCCCCCAGGCAAAGGTATTGCAAAGCGTCTTAGTAAGTATCATCAAAATCTTGCCAGGCACCTGAAGGGTTGCTGAAAGACTCCATCAAGCAAACTTAAGGTATCCAAAAACACTATCTATTATTCAGATCTATAATATGAGTCTATGCCGGCCCGTAGGCCGGAATGATGCCTCAGGTAACTATAGGTTCAACAATCGGACATCATGTCCTCGGCAGTCTCTTCGTGAGGCCGCATATGCTATCCGTAAGACTTTCTTCAACATAGTTAAGAGAGCTGCATGGGATGTGTTTGAAGGCTTTTTTCACGATAGAAAAAAAACAGGGAGGGTATAGGATTCGCATCTCCCATCGCTCTAAAAAGACAAAGCCCTACGTGGGGGTCGAACCCACAGCCTCAAGATCTCTGAATACCCATGATGAGATTCCATCTCTCACAACTCGAGGTTGCAGAAGTAGAAGTCTTGCGCGCTACCATTGCGCCAGCAGGGCTTTTTTGGTGAGCATCGAGTGAGTACTTGATACTATATTCACCGCTTGGCCACTTCACATGGGTGGCGTCTATTTTGATAACTTAGGTAGCGTAGATGACCCACACCACTGGATCTCAGCGCATATATCTATAGGCTACAGATTTGAAGCAGTGTGGGCAGCATATAGTGAAATCGGTCTGTAGCAATAGATAATCCGATCCGCCTGTGTGTAACGAGGTCCGGTTGTGCTACCTGTGCGGTGAGAAGCCGCCTGTTTGTGATACCCCAAGCAGCACTAGTAAAAGGCTAAACGCGCGGCAGCGCTGACAAAGCGTCTAATCACGGCCTCACTGGAGCTTTTCGCTTTTAGCAACAATTGGTCTGCTTCTTCTTCGATGGACAATACTTCTCTCGGTGGCCCTTCTTGTTGCAAGTTCCGTATGGAGGTATATCTCTGTGTAGGTAGACATATTGCATCTCGGGCAACTTCTCATCATGGCCCAACAGCCGCATGGCAATATTTGTGTAACGAAAAACCCGGACGAGTGAGTTAATCTTAGGGGAGTCACGTATGAGGGGGCATACTGGGGAACGAGATGAGTGGACGGGATAGGTAGTGGATGGATGGAGGACTCTGATGACAACTTCAGGTGTTCCATGACTGATCTGTTATTCAGTTCTGCTAATGTCGGCGCACCGATCCAGGAGGTCAAAGGACTATTTATATCTGTTCTACGGCTACGCATCTTCCCACTGGTTGTAGGAACCCGCCGCGGAATCTGCCCTGCCTCACAAGGTTCGATCCCGATGAGTCTCTCACTAAACGGGAGGTATCTACAGCATCATATATATACCTAATGCTAGAAAGATGCCGTGAGGTTAAGGCCTCCCAGGTCTTCTCACGTGACCTAGAACCAGTACAGCAAGCGCCGATGATCTCTCAAGGATCTCCAAAGACACCCGGAGAACATCTACAGATCTACGGGACAGGACAATGAATCGCGGGAGCTAATGAACTAGCCGGGACGTGATGAACTACTGGTGAAGGAATACTATCAGCCTTGAACCATGTTGGGCCACTGGGCCATTACTACTACTATATGTATAGAGTAGTACTACTAGTATAAGATCTTGTATGAAGCTTTATGAGGCTCTGCGCGAGGCCCTGTATGAGATCCTGCGTGGAATACAATAGAAATGTCCTAGAATAAGCTTTACAAAGGTGGATATAAATCATCACATTTCTCATATAGTAGACTGCCTAATTACGCAGGTAGGGCCTGCAGCCAATATACACATAAGGATCATGTACATGGGTATATATGTCGATCAGATAGAATACCACTCATACGTCTCAAAGTCCTCCTTCACGAGTTCCCCCTCCGGCACTTGGTCCGCCGTGGCCGGCACCGCCCGGGCGTCAAGGTCCGGTGCCCAGGCCAAGTCCCAGACGTTCGGATCACTCAGGGTATGCTGGGGTTGGAGGACACCGATCCGGAAGTCCAGCTGGTCACCGGCATCCGACGGCAGACGCATGAAATAGCGCACGCAGCGGGGAATCTCCTCACGGACGTGGGAGATCATCACGAGGGCTTGGTCGTCGGTCAGACCGCGGAAGCGGGCGTCCGCGGGAGCGGGGAGGACTTTGACGACGCGCTTGAGCACGAATTCGCCATGTTCGATGAAATTGAGACACTTGTCGCGCACCGAGGCCGGCATTCCCGAGAAGGCTTCATCGAGGATGACGATGTCGGGCCGGTGGACGAGGGCACGCAGGAAGAGGACGAGGCGTTGTTGGGCGGTGTTGAGCTCGCCAAAGCGGATGGTGTCGGCATATTCGATGCCGTGGTCGGGATTGTAGAAGTCGGTGTCGGATTTGACGAGGGTGGGGAAGAGATCGCGTGGGGTGGTGACCTTGACGGGTTTCTGGGCGAGGGAGGAGGCGGCGTCGGGGTCGAGTTCGGCGCGGAAGAAGCGCAGGACGGCGTTGACGTCGAGGTCGCGCTCGTGGTTCAGGAGAGGTTTGGCGAGGAAGGTTTCGGCGAAGGCCGACTCGATGGCCTGGCGGACGGTGAGCTGGCGGGGGAAGAAGGCGTGGATTTCCGGGGATGAGTGGCCGAGACGCGATTGCAGCTCGAAGATGGACAGGCCCGGCCGGCCGGGTTCAGGGAGTCGCGAGCGGCCGAAGAGTCGGACGGGGAGGGCGTACGTCTGCGGGTGGTCCGACGTGATGAGCGACAGCAGCGTCGTCTTGCCCGACCCATTGGCCCCCAGCACCGCCCACCGCTGCCCACGCCGCACCTTCCAGTGTAGGCCGTCCTTGCCGTCGCCCTGGACCGACTGCGTCCAGCCTCCCAGCACGCATTTCTCGCCGTATTGCACTCGCACGCCGTCCATCTCGATGAGCGGCTCGCCGCCCTTGGGGGCGTAGGACGGGGGGACCACCGTGACTCGGCCTCTACCACGCAGCGGCGCCAGGCGCATGTCCCAGATAAGTTGACGATCGAGATGGCCGGCGTCGATGAACGCCTTGGCCTGCTCGTATGTCTGGTGGACCCATGAGGCCTCCCTGGCGGAGGGCTTCTCGTAATCGCCGAATTTCTTCCAGACACTGAACACCTTCTCCGCTTCCGCGCGGGGGGCTTGGAGCAGAACTCGGTTGGCGTTCCCCAGGACCATGATGTGCGTGATCCAATCCGGAAGAGGGTCCTGTGGGCGTAGGGCGAGGACCAGTCGCGGGTCGGACTTGGCGGCCAGGCGCTGCAGAAGGCTGGAGATGCTTCGGACGGTGGCGGGATCGAGGCCCATGAAGGGGTCGTCGAGGAGGAGCAACTCGGGCTTGCTGAGGAGGGCCTTGGCGATCCGGGTCCGTCGGGTTTGACCATTGCTCAGGTTGGCAACCGGCATGTCGAGCAGCTCCTCCAGCCGGAGCTCGGAGATGATCTGCGCCAGCAACTGCTCATCATGGACCTTGCCGTCTTGCTCCGATTCGAGCGGGTTCAGCGAGGTCTGGCCCTTGAGATACTGCCGGACCGACCAGTCGGTTTCCTCCCGGAGACTCTCGTATCGCGCGCTCAGGTAGGCCCCGCGCGTGCCTCCAATGGCCCCGGAACCCTCCCCACTGAACCCAATGTATTGAATCGCATTGCCAGCAAACCGTAGTCGGGGATCCTTTTGGGCGATCTCGTCGGTGAGCAGGTAGGGGTAACTGCGCGCGGTGGGCGGCGTGCAGATGTATTGGCCGCGGAGCACATCGAGCATTTGCGTCCGTCCAGCGGAGCCAACCACGGCCCAGGTCTGCGGCGTGGCGCGACCGTCTTCCGCGGAAGTCGACTGGGAGGGCAGGGTGAAGTTGAAGTCGGGGAAAAGGGGAGGATTGTGGCCGTGGACGGCATCGTCGTCGGTGGGATAGTTCTCGTAAAACGTGCCGTTCTGGATGCGAATGAGCGGCGGTGCGACCGAGGAGATCGAACGAGCGGGGCGAGGGAGAGTCCAAGGCCGCAGCGGCCGTGCTCTCCAGGCCAGCCGCAACATGGTCTCGATTGTGAGGTCGAGAGCGTTGCGGACTGGAACATCCGGGGTGGAAAATTCTGCGGGTGCGCTCCCGTGATGACTCGCTAGTATAATCAAATCATCCCCCCTACTACGTCGCGATTACTTACAAGATAGCACTAGTACCTACACCAGAAACCCTCCCATATCAGAGATTATGGGATGCAATACCATCCTGCACAATTGATTGGCCCTATCCCCATTGCACATTACTGCAGTATGTCCGATGCCTTAAAGACAGTCATGTCCTGGACTGGTCTCAATGCGCCGTGTCTGTACGGCTCTGGGACACACGGTCAAACGCGCTGCTAGGTCCGAGTGGACAAACTGTCAGGGTAATCAAGTCCAACAGCGATACAGCGAGGACCTCGACGAAAGCACTAAAACGAGCCTCCAAGCCAAGCGCCTCCCCAAGCCCGCATCAGAATCCGACTCTTCCGAAACGCCTCTAAATCAGCCATAAGTCCAGCCACACCACCAGCCACACCAGGGATATCTGCGCCACCCCCGGAGGCGCAGCCGTCCGGGCCCCCGCAAGTCTGGCCGCCGTAGAATCGGCGATTCGAGACCAGGGCTTGGGGCCGAGGTAGCAGTGGCGGAGAAGGGCACTACCGAAAGATCTACTAACAACTGACAATCATAAAACACTTAATTCCCGATGCCCATAGTCCTCCCCATGCATGCCATCCTTCATATACTCGTCACTGTCCGTTCGCGCCACTATCGCCGGCCGGATCTTGGTGCCTACGAACCCGCGGCGGTCCCGGCCGGTCCGTCCCCGACCCAGCCAGTTGTGCTTCAGCTCCTTGCTGAGAAGTTCAATCTGCTCCTGTGCTCGATCACCTGTCTGCACGCTGGCCAGGACGCTGACGCACTGCAGCATCCGTCCTACCGTCTCCGTGATAAGGTGCGATGTGTCCATGTGCGAGGCCCGGTGGATGATGCTCGGCCACTGCGTCGGCGACGAGAACGACTGGAAGATGAGCTGGTCCGGGTTGGACGTGTTCGACGCCGCCCGGCTGCGGTTGCAGCTCAGCGAGTCCGACGAGTAGCTGTTCGCCGCTGCGTTGAGCAGTGTCGATGACTGCGAGCTGTAGCTGCCGACCCCACCATCCAGCGACGCCGCTGTCGTCGGCCGTCCGCCATTGCTGTTGCTACTGCTCTTGGTTGTGACGCTCAGCGCCGCCGGGCCCAGCTTGATGCTGTCCAAACTCAGCCGCGAGAATGTCGCCTTGAGGACGTCGTACCGGTACAGGATTACCATGTCGCGGAATGCAATCAGCACGAGGTTGCGCACCTCGAGTTCGCAGCCCGGGTACTCGCCGTTGAACGCCGATGTCCAGAACTCGCTCGCCTCTCGTCGGTTCATCACGGACCCGCAGCCCCTGAACTCAAGATCCAGCGGCAAGAAGACCGCCTGAATGAACGGGAGGATGGTGCCGAATAACAGCATCCATACCTGTACCA